GATGATAAATCCTCCCAGAAGTTATCGCAACAAACAATAATGTTGTTTCGATAAACATTAATAAAAGAGGCACAAAGGACCTTTAAAGTTACTAAATACAGCGACAGTCATTAAGTTGGTGCTCCACCCATCCACACATTAGGCCACACCCTCGCTGTATATTGACTCCGCCCACTTTGGTGGAAGCTTTCTAAATTTCTCAGGGGTGGGGTTTTGCTTTCACAGATGTGGAAACTTCCCAAAAGCAGAACTTAGACCTCCCAGATTATGAATTAAACCCTCTACAGATGCAAACTGCATGCTGCTGAAACCGCGGCGTTTAAAGAGCAGGGGGCGGGGAACGCTCCACCAGTCAGCTTTTTAATCGGAGTTTCACTTAAAAATATATATTTGCTCATGATGTTAATGAAGGAAAGTCTGCTGTTTATGTTTATGCTGTGTTGATTTTTCAGATAAACATCCAACTATTAGATTCCTCTGGGCTTTTTATGAAACGTCTAAACAGATCATTTGTCTTTAGATTGGACGGTTGGGGTCTGATCAACGTAAACTACATTCTGCCTGCATGTACATGTGCTGTAAATGTTTGTCCATGCTTGTATAAACATCAGCATGTTTGTTCCTCAGTGCTGAGCGTGGGAGAGGGGGGCTACTGGGAGGGAACGGCGAGAGGACGCACCGGCTGGTTTCCCTCCGACTGCGTGCAGGAAGTGGCGCCGCCCAGCAGAGAGAAGGGTAAAATCACACATGATGAGTCTGAATCATCGCTCAGTCTGCGGCTTGCTGCAAACATAACCCGGAAGGAAACCAAATGTGTTTAATTCATTTAAATCTGAACAATAAAAAACTGTTTTCATTGTTTAATAGTTTCACACTGATAGGAAATTAAGAATAATAAAAAAAAGTTAAATATCTGATACTCATGGTGTCATTTCCTGATGAGCTCATTAAGGAATCAGCAGATCCTTAACGTCTTAAAAAGTCTTAAATTCTTTTTTAAAACGTAAGTTGGCCTTAAATACGTTAATCACAGATCTTACATTTTTTCTTATCAGGACTTTTTACTCATGTTCTATGTAATTTTTTTCCTTTGGTGAATTTGACTGGCATTCAATCAAATATAATTTAAATCAGTTATTTGAATGTACAGTTTATATAAATCATTATTAAAAGACAGAAAACTAAAATTATGATGAAAAACTTTAAGATTAAAAACAGTTTGGTTTTTTTCCCCCCTAAACTTTCAGAGGCCCCACAGCGCCACCTGGCGACCTCCCAGGGGACCGCGGCCCCCACTTTGAAAATCAGTTTTGGATTATCTTGTAGATGTTTCAAAATTTTCCACCAGAACCTGAAGTCACAACATTAGATATAAATCACCCAGAAAACATCTCTTGGTCTATCCCAGGACCGAAGCATTTATCCCTGGAAAGGAAATGTTTTCCCACGCTGAGAACAGCAGCAGGGTGTAAATAAATGTTAGTTTTTTGATGGGTTACAGAAACATGACGGAAGCTGATGGCTTTAATTGGACGTTGGTTTCTTCTGGATGTTTCAGAGACGCGCAGCAAGAAGGCCAAGAGGAAACTTTTCCGTAACGTCACAGTGGGAGCGTACGACGGTACCGATGGGCCAAGGTGAGACGACTGGGAGCGCTGGGGTGATTCTCAGAGTCCAGTCAGAATGAAAACACAACAAAGCCGCTTCTCTGGTCACACCAGGGGTTAATTTCTGCTTCTAAGCAACTTGATTGGAGGATGGAAAAGATTCAAGTTGTGCTAAAGGGAGTTAGCCTAGCAGTGAAGCTATGCTAGCCTAAAATAGCATCAGAATGCTAAACATGTAGCATGTAGCCAATGTCCAGATTTCTAAAGCAGCTCTGGAAAGATGAACTTTGCTTCAACTGATATTTGAAAAACAGATTAAAAGCCATAAATATCTGATGTTAATCTCAGTCTTTATTCAATAATTTAGCAGTAAAAAGAGAATGCTGCTTATTTTGCTGATATATATTTTTTGCTTAAAATGCGATTGATTACAGATCCAGCTATAACTCTGTTAAAATTTAATCAAGTCAAGCACTGTAAAACACGTTGCATTAAGTCAGAAAATCAGTTTCTTTATTTCTTTTAATCTGAGAATAACTGTCAAGATTTCAGTTTGTCCTGGCAGTGTGGGGAAACGTCGTCCATGTTGTTGGTTTTTGGGTTGAAAGCGTCTTCGTGCTGACGCTGAACCGCTCCTCTTCTTCTTCTCCTTCTCCTCTGTCTCAACCTGCCTGCTTTCCACCTTCATCTTCTAATCCGATAACGCTTCGTTAGAGGGATTTTCCTGCAGCTGCTGCTGCTTGTTATGAAGCTCTGCGTCTCGTTCAGGAGGAGGACGAACGTGAACATGAAACTGGCAGCGATATACTTCATCATCATGATGCTGCTGATGAGTCATGAGGAGGCTGAAGCCTCGGCTCCTCGGGGCGACGGAGAAGGACTCGGTGGTTCCCTTTGTTCCGACACGCCGTCCTTGAGCCCAGGAGTTTCCACTTTCACTTCACTTCCTCTGCGGCTTCTGGTTCAAAGCCTCTGCTGCATGTGGCGCTGCCGTGTAAACAGACTCTAAAAAACATTCAACACACTCAAAGACTGTAAACGATACCACAATATACACATCCTGCATTTAGGATATAAAAACCAAAACTCAGAAAGTGGCTTCCAGTTCAGACTTCCAGTTATCGACGTTGGAAGATTTTTTTTTACCCGATACTCATCTTTTGCTCTAAATGATCAAACATTCACTTAGGCCTGGACAACAAATCAATAATATATATCATGATGTATATATACATTGTGATTCTCTTCACAATGTGATCAGTATCTAGAGATAATACATCTGATACAATATTCAATAATTTCACTCTGATCCAGAGCCACGCGGCATTCTGGGAGATGTAGGCAGAACAAATACTTTAGCGGCTAAACCTCTCACAGCTAGCTAAGCCTGGTAGGTGGAATCGACTCACTCTCTCTGGTTACCTAGCAACAACCTGCTGAGTAACTGGGACAGCAGCAGCTTCATGTTTCGCCACCGGGGCTCATAACTGCAAAAAAACCAAAACAATGTGAAGTGAAAACAGGATAAAACAGGAAACATCACGTCACCAGTTTGGCAGCATTTCAATTTGTACAAAACTTTGTCAATATTCCACTAACATCGAAAAAACAAAATTTTGCAATCGTGGTGTTTATATTGAATAAGAAACACAATTAAAATCAGACATGATCACATTAATGCTCATGCAGTAAGTCATTATACAACTCCTACCACTTCCTGTCGTCTTCTTTGTCGTTTCCACCAGTGGAAACATCCTGTTGTTGATCACATGACTTGTGTGACATGAAAAAACTGTTTCCACTGCAGTGATGGATGGATGGATACATGAATTTCAAAATGGCTGAAAAACTGCCTCATCCTACAGCAAAAACCTGTAATCAAATAGTTTTTTTTAAAATTAGCAGGTTCTGTTAAGCAAATTTATTTTTGCAATTCCAATTTTCACACTTTTCTGGTCAAAGGTTTGTTGATATTATGCTAATGTCAAAAACACAGTTTGCAGCATTTGAATGTTTGCTCACGTAATAAGTCATTAAAAACATTGGCCTCCTACCACTTCCTGTCGTCTTCTTCGATGTTTCCAGCAGTAGTAACATCTGGTTTTGATCATGTGACTTCTATGATGCAGAAGAAGTGTTTCTGTTTCAGTTTTTCCAGATACACAAACTACCTCATCCTGGCCCAAAAATCTTTATATCGAAAAACGTGAGTTTGTAGAAATCAGCTTGTTTCGACAAAACAAATTTATTTTCATAATTCACATTTACGCAGTTTTTTATTCAGTGGAAATGCAGCTAGTGTTTCTGTTTGAAGCAAAGTTGTTGAATTGGAGGTAGATGAGGTCAGATCCCAGCTGCGCCGGCCCAGTCCTCGCATCGCCGGCCCCCCAGTTCTGCTCCCCATCAGCCCGATGTCGCAGTTCAGCAACACAACCCTCCTCCTCTCTTCATCTTCCCTCACATCGTCTTCCTCCTGTGAAGTACGCAGCTTTGCAGACTCTCTCTCTCTCTCTCTCTGCCGGGCGAGCTTTCACTGGAAGACGGGGAGGAAGAGGAGGAGAGAGAGAGAGGAGGGGGGTACATGGCGATGGGGGGATGCGGAGAGAGAGATTTCTCTCTCTCCCTCTCTTCTTCGTGGCCATCACTGGGCCCCAGAAACAGGAGCGTGTGGTTCATTTACAGGTAGCGGCTGTTTCTCCATTCATTGGCTGGCTATGGATGTGAGGAGAGGACAATGGAGAGAGGGGAGAGGTAGATGCTGCTACTGAGAGGCCGTGCCTTTTTCAAAGCCAGACTAACGCGCTCTGTGTGTGTGTGTGTGTGTGTGTGTGTGTGTGTGAGAGAATCGCTTCGTTTTCCGACTCTCCGCATGCATGTGCATGTCTGCGCTGGTGGACGCCGTCGCTGCTGCATGTTCGCTCCGTCTCTTCCTGCCGTGTGTTTTCTGAATCCTGCCTGTGTGTGTGTGTGTGTGTGTGTGTCAGCTCATATTGATGCATTTCAGTCAGACAGTGTGGGTGTATTTCATTCTCTCTGATTTTGTTCTGATTCACCTGAAATTCCCATTTATTCCCGTTTCTCTCTAAATCTGCAGCTTAAACATCAAAATTTGGATTCATTTGAAATATTAGTCGATTATTTTCCTTCATATTTCCTGCATGCATTCATCTATATGCCCATGTATTTATTCTTATTTATTTATGTGTCTGTTAAATGAAGGATGTGTTTTCTGTGGTGAAGGTGGGAGTGTCTCACACTGAGTGTCTAACATCTGTCAGCTGCTTTACTTATTGAGCCCCCCTTCCTGCACCGTGTGTGTGTGTGTGTGTGTGTGTGTGTGTGTGTGTGCATTCAGCAGGTGAATGGTTAAAATGCCGTCTTTTTTCCCGTCTCTGATTGTGAATCGGAGGGAGGATGACTCAGGAGGGAATGCAATAACTTCAGTTGCGCTTTTTTTCTGACGCTCGAGTTCAGCGGCTGAAAGAATAAAAAATAAATCGTTTTTTTTTCCGTGTGCGGCGTTCCTTTGATCGTTGGAGCGGGGAGGCATGATGGAGGACAGGGTGAGAGGAAAGGGACGGAGGTGTGAGGAGCAGATGGCTGGAAGGCGGCTGAGCGTTGGCGAAAGCCTCGACGGAGACGGCAGCAGAAACGGACCTCGGTTGGGGGGAAAGCAGCCGGGCTGTTGAGTGTTAAAGTCGCGTCTTGGTGTCTGGATCTTCTGGACTCCAAACTTTCTCTGCGTTCCTCCGCCGAAGCACCAGGCAGCCGGCTGAGTTTTGTTGTGTTGCTGTTGCTCTGACAGCGGTGGGCGTTTCAGACGCGGATGCACAATGCAGCAGGACGGACGGAGAGCCGGACGAGGTTTAAAAATACTACATGCAGGAAAATGAATGAAACCCTGGAATTAAACTGCCGTTAAAACGGCAGGAAAATGAGACGCAAATCCAACTGTTCACCACAAGAAAATCAAATTTGTTCCACTTCCGTATCATCACCTTCCTAAAATAACATTTTTTTGCCAAAAGTGATTTTTTGTAAGCCAAAATCACTTTTAGCAAAAGAGGAATTAGGCCTTTATCTTAGGAAAGTGACGATAAGTGGAACTAAAAGTCACATTTTATCCGACTTTTTAACGACAATCTGAACAGCCTAATTAAGTTCTTTTTTGCCAAAAGCGGTTTTAATTTTTTTTTGTCTGAAACCTCTTTTGGAAAGAAAGAGGTGGTGGTAAATTTTTTAATCACATTAGACTTTTTCAGATGGAAATGTTTCTTAAGAACAGTTCTCGTGTTTGTGGCTCTGTGAATGCTGATCCACACAGTCAGACATTTGTTTCCTAAAAAGCAGTAATGGGTTTTCTCACCATTTTATCGTTATCACAAAAGCACCACAATATATTGTTACAAAATTCTAAGTTTAACCAACAAAATATTCCATATTAACCGCCTCTTAAAGGCACATTTTGATGTGAAGGTCTGTTAGACTTGAAGCAGTTACCTGCAGCAGATTTCAGATCAGATTAAACCACCTGCAGGCTGAAGGTGTCGGCTGGTCCAAACCAAACTAAACTAAACTAAACTAAGTCTTCTGAATGTCATCATGGAGGCTTTCTGTGTTCATTTACATAAAGACAGATGATTACCTTTACTGCAAATGGAGGATTGGAGGCGGTGCACCATCCAGGATCTTCCTGTGTGCAACATGAATAAAAAACGTTCCTAGGCCCGGTACCTGTCAGGCAGATAAAACTCAGGCAGAAAAAACGGTCCAGGTCATTTCCATCTGTTCCAGTTGATCAGTTACCAATCAATACATCAAGTTCAGTTTATTACTCCAAAAGGCTTAAAGGGGCAGTATTATGTAAAATTAACTTTTTTAATATCTCTCCATCGTGTTTTAATGTTTTCCATATCAAAAACAAACCTGGAGTGTTGCTCTGATTCTTTCATGCATGTTTGAGAAATCTTTTAATCTCCATGGCAACCATAACATCATTACTTGATTATGCTATAAAATGTCAAAATGTGTCTGGAAAACGCATAACACTTCCCCTTTAAGACTTCTTTTTGATAGGTTTGAAAAACTTTTTTCACCTAAAAAAGCGTAATGACTTTTTAGCACAGAGAGTTGTTCCTCTGCCATGTTAGCCATTAGCTTTAGCGTCTGTAAACAAATTGATCTAATATGGATACAAATGTAGGTTCTTTTCCCCATTAACGTCCAGTCGACCCGGTTCTACTGGACCCAGAACTCCATCATCTGCTCCACCTCCATCTGCTGTGGTTCTGAGTCAAACCAACCTGTTCCCCTCCTGGCCTGTGGGGGCGCTGCACCAAGAACCACTGAAGGAAACGACACAAAAACCTCTGAAGACACTGAAAGCAACTTCCTTCTTCACCAGATGGAAACAAGATGGAGGCGTCAGATTTTAGTGGCTGGAGGATTTCTCTTTAGGCTAAAGACCAGGAGCCATTTCTGCTGGTTGCGCTAGGCTAGCACGTTAGCTTTGGTTGGATTTACCCAGAATGCCCTGCACTGTAGTCCACTTCCTGCTTTCAGATTCCACTTGGCGTTCACATATCAAACCGAACCAGAGTTCACTTCAACCGAACCCAGACGGAGCTAATTGGCTAATAACCAAAATGGTGCACATGACGATCAGGCCTTCATCCTTCCACCACATTGAGCCTCTTCATGTTTTCTACAAACTTTATCCATGTTTCCTGTGGGGGTAAAGGAACTGTTGTCACTCTGAACCACTGCAGTGACTGTTTCTGCTGGATCCCGGTTCCGTTAATTTGGTTCCATTGTGACTGAGAAGCACAGATGAAACCCCGGAGCGCTCTAACCGAGGCGGACTGGGCCGACATGAAGTCCAGCAGTGAGTCATGATTCGAGTCCGTTCGGCCAGTACCGCCTCCCGGTCCAGACATGCCGATGGAATAACGCAGGAAGCTCTAACCCAGCCTCACTGCCTGCTGCCATTTCTCTGCTGCCAGCCGGGTTGGTTTGTGCAGGTGGGGCCGAGATTACAGGCATGTCCAACCTAATCTCCTACATAATTTGAAGTGTCATGTATGACCAGCAGTGGTGCTCAGGAGTCGGTGCAGCAGCATCCATGTAAAGGCTGCCGGAGGCGGTGAAAGCAGATGCAACAATTTAGGTGCATTTGGTTGTTTTCTGTTATCAGTGTGAGTGCAGATTTCCCTGATGTGCTCTTCCTCCTGGCTCAGTGCTCGTCAGCTGCAGCTGGATCAGTCTGTGGTGTGGAAACTGCTCTCATTATGATGCTAACTGTACCCCAGCCATCAACCTCTCTGTAAACTAATGCCTCTTTTATGGCCCGCTCAACGAAACCTATCTGTCCGTCGCTGCAGGGGGTATCATAATGCGACGCAGTGAGAAAAGTCACTGTTTGCATGTTATCTTTGTATTTTATACGTTTTTCATTAGCATTTTTTAATGTTTCTCTCTTCCTCTGAATGCTCTTTATTCTCCACAGCGACTACATCATTAAGGAGAAGACAGTGCTCCTACAGAAGAAAGACAATGAAGGCTTCGGCTTTGTGCTCAGAGGAGCCAAAGGTAAACCTGCTCTGTAAACCCAGCGTGTCACGCAGCGTTTGGTCTGGTCTCTCCATATTTCTCCTTCCTTCCTTCTCCCCTCCAGCTCAGACTCCCATAGAGGAGTTCACGCCAACGCCAGCCTTCCCGGCGCTGCAGTACCTGGAGTCTGTTGATGAGGGGGGCGTGGCCTGGAGAGTTGGCCTGAGGATGGGGGACTTCCTCATCGAGGTAGAGCTGCTCAATACTCAGTGCTGGGAACGCTAGCTAAGTAGCGCTCTAACGAGCTACCAAGCTACCTGTGCTAACCTTAAAGCACCAACTATAAACATTAGTTCTGGTAATGCTACAACACTACACTAACATTGCATTTAGCAGTAGCTAATGGTAAAGCACTACATTCAGCCACAATTTGTGGATGGCAGCACTAAATAAAAGGCTGTGCTAACCTTAAAGCTAATAATGAATGTTAAATTTCACCAATGCCATTTTGCTAAACCAATACGGAAGCTAAAGTTAAAGCACTAAATGAAACCACAATCACACCCAACATCAGTGATGGGTAATGCTAACTTGAAAGCTATGTGGGCTAACGTTAAAGCATTAATTATATGCATTTGTTCTGCTAACGCTAAACGCTACACTAACATGGTTTTTATCAAATGCTAAAGCACTACACCAATGTGGTATTTAGCAGAAGCTAATTCTAAAGCGCTGTACTAACATGGTATTTAGGAGAAGGTAATGCTAAAGCACTTCACCAAAAATAGTATTGAGTAGAAGCTAATGCTAAAGCGCTGTACTAACATGGTATTTAGGAGAAGGTAATGCTAAAGCACTTCACCAAAAATAGTAT